AATACATAAATAATTATTCTTAAATCTTTAATAAAAAATAATTATTTTAAGATTAAATGAGTATAATACAAATTCTCACAAACCATACTAATTGTAAACATATTTATTTATTTATTTTAAGTTTCAAGAATAATTGATCACGATGTTGCAAGCAAGAGCATTTACTATGAGAATTTGTAGTTGAAGATGAATATTTTAAAAACAAAAAAATTGGCAATTATTCTATATATATAATATTGTATATTCATTAATCAAGTTTGAAATAATTAGTAGTACTCACTAGGGCACAAGTTAATTATTCATCTTCAACGGCGGAAATGGAACGAACGAAGGAGGGAGGGAGACTAGGAGAGTAGTGGTGAATGGGGGATAACTGTACAAAAGTTTTAATTGTATTTGTTCAATTTTAGTGTATTTAATTTTTAATTTGAAAATTTTAATTGTTTAATATTTTTAAGATGTTATTTAATATATTTTTATTTTTATTTTAAAAAATAATTATAATATATATTGAATAAAAAATTTATTTAAATTATGATTAATAAAAAATATATAAAATTTTATCAATTAATTAATTTTTATATTTTTATATTATTTAAAAAACTAAACCTATTAAAGTTAATAAGAGAAAGCAGTACATACTAAGTACTAATTCCTAGCCCTAACTTGAATTTAGTTTCTTTTCTTAAGGGCTAGGTTGAAAATTTTGCAACAAAAAAAAAAATGATAAAACTATAATAGATGAGTAGGATTGGATGGAGTTTTAGATTTATTTGGTTAAAAATTAAATCACATTAATTTTAAAAGATTTGAATTTTAAGTGGTAAGTTTAAAAATTAAAAAATTGATAATTAAGGTAAATACAATTGAAAAATCCAAATAAAAATTTTTTATATAAATTTTAAATATTTTAAAGATTTTTAAAAAAACTTTCTAATTACTTTTTACCAAATTATTTTTTTATTAGATAATTTTTAGTTTTATAGTAATTAAAATTAATCAAATAATAATTAATTTTTTTTATTTATTAAAAAAATATAAAAATAATTTTTCAATTAAAACCAAAGTCAACCCGAACTATTTCTTTTTAAGAATACAACTGTAATTGATAAAGTTCATTTTATTCGGTTTGATTATTGATAGTGCAAATTTAATAACTACAAATTTGAATTCAGATGTAACCGAATCCAGCCATGCCCTCCCCTACTTTTCCAGCCCTGGCTTGAATTTTCGTTTCTCACGTAATGTAAGTGTCTGACCAGGAAATGTAAACGATATGAATTAAGGAACGTTTCGTTGTGAAGTCATTTTCTCCTTTAAATTTTTTATGATCTTTTATATATTTTTATATATTAATGTTATAATAAAAAGAAGATAAAAAAATATTTTAATTTTTATTTTTTAACATAAACTTTTCTTCTAACTTTTTTTAATTTAATATAAAACTTACTTAATAAATTTTTTATATTAATTTTTTATTAAATGTAAAAAATTAACGACATAATCAAAATTTACGTAAATTTTATTGATTTTTTATACGATATTTATTAACTTTATTTTTAAAATACATTTCAAACCAATTTTCCATAATAAACCCGTAAGATACTTTTCATCGTTGTTAATACTTTTCCTTAAAAAAAAAGGATTCTCTTCTCCGTTTAGAATCCTACGCCAAATTTCACAACTGACAACTCTACCCTGTCTGTCTGTACTCTCTTTTTCTATATTTATTCCCCCATATGCGTATGCATGCCTCTTAAAGTCTTAATTATATGTAGCTTGATTCCATAAAAAAAAAATTGTATACATATATACAGCTTAATTTCTGGGTATCATAATCACCCTGATCTTCTTCATATATGGTCATGGAATCGCTACCACCACCGTCGCCCAATAAGTTGCTAACCAGGCTTGATGCCGCCGTGGCCAATAGCAGAATTGGGAAGCGCTTCAAACTCACCCAACGCAATTCCTCCTTCAGCACTGAGTTCCGGGCTGGCACCGCCACATTCCTCACCATGGCCTACATCTTAGCCGTCAACGCCTCCATCCTCGCCGACTCAGGTGGCCCCTGCACAGTCTCCGATTGCGTTCCCCTCTGTTCTGATTCGTCGGTGCCAGTTTCCAACTGTACTGGACCAAATCTTCAGGTGGTCCAACCCGATGAATCCTGCAAGTTCAATCCCGTGAATCCTGGCTATACCAGCTGTTTAGACAAAGTTCGGAAAGACCTTATAGTGGCCACCGCTGCTTCATCGCTAATTGGGTGTGTCATCATGGGTGCTTTCGCCAATTTACCCTTGGCTCTGGCTCCGGGGATGGGTACAAATGCCTATTTCGCCTATACCGTTGTCGGGTTTCATGGGTCGGGTAACATTTCGTATCAGAATGCTCTGGCAGCTGTCTTCTTGGAAGGTTTGATCTTTCTGTTAATTTCAGCCGTCGGGTTCCGGGCCAAGTTGGCTAAGTTGGTTCCCAAACCGGTTCGGATAAGCTCCTCCGCCGGAATCGGGCTTTTCCTGGCGTTTATTGGATTACAGAATAACCAGGGGATCGGGTTAATTGGGTACAGCTCATCCACGCTGGTCACTCTGGGTGCCTGTCCGACCTCCTCCAGGGCGTCGCTGGCTCCAGTGGTAACGGCAGCCAACGGCACCGTTAGCCTGATCCCTGGCGGAACCGTCTCCGACGATCTCTTGTGTCTTAATGGCAGAATGGAAAGTCCAACGTTTTGGTTAGGTGTGGTGGGCTTTGTAATAATTGCGTATTGCTTGGTGAAAAACATCAAGGGTGCCATGATATACGGTATAGTATTTGTGACGGCGGTGTCTTGGTTCCGTAACACAAAAGTGACCGTGTTTCCGAATACAGATACCGGTAACTCGGCTTATGACTACTTTAAAAAGGTGGTTGACATTCATCTAATACAGAGTACGGCTGGGGCGTTGAGTTTTAAAAGCATCGGCAAAGCCTCCTTTTGGGAAGCCTTAGTCACGTTTTTATACGTTGACATTTTGGACACCACAGGCACTCTCTATTCAATGGCTTCATTTGCTGGTTTTACAGACGAAAAGGGTGACTTTGAGGGTCAATACTTTGCCTTCATGTCCGATGCCACGTCCATTGTAGTGGGGTCCTTGCTCGGGACATCGCCTGTGACGGCATACATCGAGTCATCGACGGGTATACGAGAAGGCGGTCGGACGGGGCTGACGGCGTTAACTGTGGCGGCATACTTCTTCCTAGCGTTTTTCTTCACACCTTTGCTGGCGTCCATACCTGCTTGGGCAGTGGGGCCTCCTCTTATCTTGGTTGGGGTGCTGATGATGAGAGCAGTGGTGGAGATAGAGTGGAATGACATGAGGCAGGCAATCCCTGCTTTTGTGACACTCATCTTGATGCCTTTAACGTATTCAATTGCATATGGGCTGGTCGGCGGGATAGGTACTTACATTGTGCTGCACTTATGGGACTGGGGAAAGGAGGCGTTGGTAAAGTTTGGTGTTATAAAAAAGGGAGGAGCACATTCGGCACAGCAACAGCAACGTGACGATGGAGTAAATGAGAAAGTTCAACTTGATCAAGTGTAGGTCAGAAGCCAAATATATGCTGCATCTGTTTAATTTGTTCTTATTAGTTGTGACTTCCGAGGGAATTAATATTCTAGTCTTCAAATCAATTTCTAGGGAAATTAGATACAATCCCATAATAAATGTATGAATTCTTGAAGAGGGAGATGTAAATAGGTTTAGGTACATCTCATATGCGCCTGCCCATATTCATCATCTTAATTTTATACATGTTCATTGCCTGTAAAAAAATCAGTTCTCTCCTCCCCCCCCCCCC